AACCCTGGAGGTCCTGGGATCGAATCAAAGTCGATGCGACAGTGCCCTTTGGTAAGGCATTTATCCTCATAGCCAAGTCCCTCGGAGATGACTTTAAGCCGCTGGTCCACTGGTTGCCTTTTGTACCAGCATACACATGCTTTTTTACTAGTCAGGTAAATCAAACATTCAAACAAATGACTATTCATCATTATTATTAATAATTTTATTTGTTAATAAATAATCTATTTTATAGACGGGACGGTTAATGTCAAATTCATGAATGTATTGTGTTCAATACAATGTATGGGGAAGCTGATAATTACTTCGTATATTCCAGTAATACCACTATACCCTGATAGATCTTGGACCCGCATGTATCTCAACATATATAAGCCAAATAATCACAACGTAATTGCAATATTCCCTTAAAGGTATTACAAAGTTTTGGTATGGGGTCATGAATTTGGTTCAAATTAACATATTGGAAGCATATGCGATCCTACAAATATTCAGTGATCGTTGTCGCGGTTGAAATCGAGTCTAAAGTTATGAAATTGTATATAATAATCTCTTTATGTTGTATAGCTCCCTCTTAAGTTCAAGATGCTAATTAAGCTATAAAACAATGTTTCTTAACTAAAATAAACCGATTGGCTATTCCCATTTGGAAATTATGTATCACAACTACATATTCTGAAATTGTCATTGTCGCAGCTACCATTGTATGGCCGTAGGTGCTATTTGAAATTTATCAAAATTTACCGGGAGCACCGGTAAAGTTTTATATTCCATTTTTCTCGAAAGCAGAAGTGTTTCAGAGGCTAAATTTTCTAGTGCCTATAATACATCAACAGGGGCATCAAAATATATCAAAATTGTAAAGAATCACTATCCAGCCAATTTTCAAAATTTCCCAAAACTTTGTATTACCTTTAGGTCATTTGATACACTGTCTATTCAAATGTAGTTTTTAAGTGAATGGTTTCAATCATTTTTGTTGAGCTGTCGATGGGGTAGGTATATGCAATCTTGTTTTGTACATATATAAATATATTTCTGCAAAACAATCAGGAATACACTTTATTATGATATCGCATGTTTGAGAGAAATGGAATTTAAAAAAATCTTACTCAACATGTGTAATAGATAGAAAGGGTGCAGGTTGCATTGTGATACTCTTGACAGAAGGGTTGGGAAGGAGAAAGGGAGAAGGTAGAGGAGAGAGAGAAAGAGCTAGTGAAGCAGCAGAGGAAGATGATGTTGTTTCGAATATTTGGTCTCATCAATTTTGTCATTGCTTGATGAACGAAATACGATTTAAATCAATATTTTTGTATGTTACTGTTTTAAAGCTAAAGACCAGTTATGGTCATGCAATTGCATTGTGAAAGAAACATTGTGAAATCGATCAGAAAAGGTTGTTCATCTAGCATAGATGTACTGCAAGGTTCTGGAATCATCAAAATGATAAGAAATTTGGCCAAGTCTGCATAAAGTTAGAATCACTGTACACAGAAAGATGTATATGGGACTACACACACGTGCGCGACACGTGCATTTGTATCTCTCAACAGGCAAGACACTAATTTACCAAATATATCAATTAGAAGGCGGTTTCCCGTCAACATTTGTATCATCATGTATTATTCAAAACATATTCTTTCACATGATTGGTTAAAAGAGCTTCCATTTCATTTTTTGAAATTGGGGCGTTTCCAATACTGGTCTTCACCTTTAATCTCAATTTTGTGAGAGTGAGATGACCGCTGGAATTTTTCAATAATTACCAGTCTCCCTATTCGTATTTTTAATAAAGAAAAGGTCCTATTGCACTCGGGTTCAGAACCTAGAGTAAATATTCAGGTTAATCTTTATTACATGTACAATCAATCGCGAATTACTATTGACCAATCAGAATCGACCTTTAAACAAAATACGATAGAAACCTTGATGCTGATTGGCCACTGGTAGGAATGTTGAGGATCGGTGTAGTGGTTATGGTGGTAGTCGCTTTTTCAACTGAGGCTGGCTACATCGTTCGAATATTTGCAGTCGTTCTCGGATCTGAAGTCCTATCAACATTTAAAAACCTTGATCAATAAATGACCTAAGGACCTAAATATTCGTTTTTAACCCTTTTGTCGTAGCTTTAAACTTTATTGTAGATGTTTTAAAAATAAGTGTCAAGACCGAACATATTTGTATTCAATACATTTGTCATTTGTGCACGTTGATTTTTGTTTAAAGTTTATATTGCGGTGACGAATAATGATTACCGCTAATGGAAAAGGTGTTTAAATATTTATGATAATCATTTGTTTTACACAATGTATTTCGCTAGAATGCCAATGACTTATTAAATTCACTACCCGAGTTAAGTTGAGCTGTCGTAACGCTCGTAACATGGACGTAGGACAGGTCTAAATTAGTAAAGGTATGTTGGTGTAATCTAAACTTAAAATGACAGCTTCGTAAGGGTGAAATTATGTAAACACAGCTCAAGAGAGTGTTTTATGAAAAGAAAGGGAAGGCATCCATGTATTGTAAAAAGGTAATCAAACGAACAATCCAAACAAACTATCAACAACAACACCCGAACGCATACTACTTTCAAGATGAGAGTAATAGTGGAAAGAAGGACACTCGACTGGAAAATATTACTGTATCGTGAAGACGATCAAGAGGGAAAAAATGCATTTAGTAATGACCTATGCCTATTATTCATAAGTCCCTTTTTATACATTAGCGTCAAAGGGACAATAGTTGTTACGTGTAGTTTGCAACAGGCATGTAATGTTATGAAGAGTAAATGGGGGTAGTTGCGGTTTTAGGGGGATTTTGGGGTTCTAGGTTCCTGTATTCAATCCCTAAAATGAGTTATAGATTAAAACTGAAATTAAGCGAGGTATTGTAGACAATTACTGATTGTCAAGAAGACATGATCACGGCGGACGGATGAACATATTTGTCTTTCTTTTCTGTTTAGCTGGAGGGGGAATGGGTCGAGTTCAAATACCCCTGCCCTTTTTCTAAGACACTAAGTTAAGCTTTGATCATCGGCCTGTCCTAATGCATAAACATTAAACTTACAATACGGTAGTAATGTCATTTTTTTTTTTAGATGTATGCGTGAATGAAGTCAAAATAAATAGTCATCTAAATCGATGTGACTATTGGAATATTTACATTTTCTTTTTATGTATAGGTCTTCTATGCCTATATTTGTATACTGATTCAATACGTTTTAAAGGGCCTAGTGTGCTGGTAATTGAAATCCACAGTGTTCCCATATCGCCAATGTAGTTACCCCCACCCCCCCCCCCCCCCATATTACATATCTTTGATTTCCATACTTTGGGCAGAACATTTCTTGAACAGAGACAATGTTTAAAGGAGGGAAATCCAAATTTTATAGCAAATAACTCTAAAAGAAAGCAACAAAATAAAATAAAACCAGAATCAGACAGGTGACAAATTGAACGAAAACGGAAATTAAAAAGTTTTGAGTTTTTGACAGTTTTAATCACTTGAATTTAAATTGGCTGAATGGATAATATAACTGTGATGGAGTGTCAGACCTGGAAACTACTATGGAAACCTTGATTTTGATTGGCTGTTGAGCCCTGTTAACTTTGCCATTGATGGAAAAGTTACCTTCAATGGTATGTTTTATGCAACGGGCCCCGGTCAGACAAATTTCCCATTTATTCCAAAACATGAAATGACTAAAATAAGTAAAATTCTTCAAAATGGATGATTCGGGAGGGTTCTTTCTGTCTAGGGGACCTCTAATGATATAATATAACATAATAGTGCCCCAAGGGAGAAGGAACTTGGGAGAGAAAAAAATACAGCATAAATTAATTATATTCTGTATATGACATATTCGAGACTACGTCACAATCCACTGGCAAAATTGCCAATTTGAGATTCGCATTGATATAGGGAATTCGTCATTCTAACCTAACTCTTTTATTATGGTCGGATTTATGTCAAACTTTCGCCGTTATGTTTCTCTTATTTTTCTGCTTCCATAAAAATCATCTCATTACAAGGGTTAGCTAGATTACCATTTAAGTCAACGATGACGATAGTGCATGTAATTGATATATTGATTATATCCAGTCTGTGATTATCTAATCAAAAGAGCATATGCCAGGGAAAGTTATATATATATATATATATATATATATATAGTAATTTTTTTAAATTTTGAGAGAATATTAATTTTCTAATTTTTCTTCTCCGTTTGAATGTTATTAACAATATTTAGTTCACATGAAATTTTGGATGCTCTGGATTTATCTCATATTTCGTCACTCACACAGCTTGTGAAGTTCTACACATAATAGGAAAATACCTTGACCATGTATATAGGTCATTTAACATGTGTTGCCTGTTGTCTGCTGTTTCTTTATTTGTTTTGTTTTATTTTATTTTGATTTTAGAAAAGTTCCCAACATCCTGTACCTCATAGCGTGTAACTTTTTTTGTTTTTTTGTTATTGAGTAGTCACGAAAAATACACTTAAAGATAAACTCCAGTACTGGTAAAAAAAAAAAAATTAATTCTCACAGAATCAAACGAAACTTACACTGAATGTTCAAGATTACAAATAAATGACATGTGCCAAACAATTTTGGAAGAAAATGTATACTGGCTGAGTAATGAGCATAGAAAGACAAGGAAACCAAGGTAGTACCATCCCCGACACGGTGTGTGTTGTCCCATATATAGCTTTCTATGTGAGTGTTTGTTACTTTACCAAGACTCGGTCAAATTTATTATGATTTTGATGACTCCAGAACCTTGCAGTGCACACCAATACTTACATGCTACATGATCAACTGTTTCTGATCCTTTCACACCTTTTCTTTCACAATGCAATCGCATTACCAGTACTAAAGTTTAGCTTTAAAAGCTTTACCTCTCTATTTCATTATATATTATATGTTTGATTTTATTGTTATGGTGAAGAGAAATGTTATGTTTTGGAACGCCAAACTGTTTTTTAATGTAATTATTGTCTGTCAAAATGTCAAATTATTTCGCATAGCCTACGAAACAAAAGGGATGCAAATTATGCTAATTATGTTAAAATGTGGCCATATTCCAACTATTTACGACCTGGAATAACCTTGTCTGTTCTAATTCCACTCGACCCCATGCTCTCCGCGGATCTGATTATTACCAATTGTGTCTTCGTTGAGAGGAAAGCGAGAGGGGAAAGGCTTGATGAGGGCGGGTTATTGGCCTAGATGGATCACGTGACAACTTCAAGGTTCTCTCTCTTCTTTATGTTTTATGCCCGCAGGTCGTGGGGGTTTATCACCGTCTCCACCGGACTAGCCCGTAATATCGACGACATAAAAATACGAGCGATATTAAAATGACGACATCAGCCTTCTGTGTGAATTCACTGATAAATGGTGGAGATAACGTGACTGCGGCTGCCTTAAAAGGCGCCGATTTACATTCTTCTATCATTCACGGATCGTCGAAATGCTCGTTGACGCCGAAATTCGCCGATACTTCGATCCAGGGGGCGGCGTCGGTGGTGACGGCGACTTCGGGTAATGGACTGGCGACGACGCCTCAGGTATCGACAGCGGCGAATATGTATCATCTACAGGCAGAACAGAATGCCAGCTATGCATCCCCTTGGTTTTATCCTGCCGATCACCATCCGTACTCGACGATGCCCGTGCCTATGTCCGCCGTCGCCGACGACTTCGACAACTCGGCGTACTCTTACGCCATGGGCCCGCCAAAAAACTTCGAAACGGGACTGATGGCGGCGTCTGGAGGTGGATTTTATTCTATCGGGCGTCATCAAGCCTATGATCGATATCCTACTCATGCTAACTCTATGTACCACCATCCTGCCGCGGCGGTCTCACACGCGGGACCCTTACCTGTGAGCCTCACCGCCGCCGGGACTCTGGCGACGAAGTACATCACCAGTGACGGTGGTGGAGGTGGCAATACAAGTCCTCATGCTACAACGCACACCTTGCTCGAAGAGAAGCATAAATACAGCATCTCAGCCGGATACGACGCCTACAGCTGCCCGAAAGAGACTCTAGCAATCGCTAAATCGAGCGGGCAGAGAACGGTGGAGATCAGCCCGACCTACCCGTCGACGGGCTCGGCTGGTGGTTCGCCGATAACAGTCATTCACAGCAAAGACTCACCAGGATCAGATACGAAAGAAAACGACGTCATTGATGACTGTGATGGTAAGATACTTTTCTTTCTTTCATTATTACATGACAGAGAAGTCAAGAAGATTAAAACCTTAATTCAAAGAATTAAAGAGTATCATAAAAATATTGATTATATGTTTAGATAATTTTACCAAAAGCTCAGAAGGTATGTGTATTGAAAAGGAATTAAAACGAAACAAATCGGATACAAAATAATAATTTATTAAATGTGGTAATATTAAAATATGACATTTTCAATATGGAATTCATCGCATACGACTTAAAAAGAAACGAGGGAGACAGAGATAAAGAGAGAAAGAACAAAAAACAGAGAGTAAATTTTAATGTAATAATATGATATGACATTTTTTTTTTTGGGGGGGGGGTGGGGGGGGGGGGAGAAGGGGGAGGAGGGAGACAGAGATAAGAAAAGAAAGAAGAAAAAACAGAGAGTTAAACTAAACTATTGTCTATTATTGACGTATGATGAATTGATGAAAATCTGCCCAATATTGTCTGTGTCATATTCCATAACAATTCTTTCTAGCATGTCTGAGAACTTCCGGAAAAAAGTAGAAATGCTGGTTCACAAGCTGTCAGCGGTTAAATTAAAGAGCTAATTTACCTGTAATAGAAAAATTGGCTTTAGTAACAGCTTTAGAAAATAGGAGAACATGGTTCGGGAAAGTTGAGAAAAAGTAAACATGTTTTAAACACAAGATGTGGAATCCCTTGTGCGGTCATTGTTTTGTATCCAATGTACTCGAATTCGCCCTTTTCTCATTTATTCTGATAAGACAACCAAAAATGGATTGGAGACCATGCCTAACTCTTTTACCCATACATAAATGTACCAGGAAATCATGTGGTACAATAACCGTGGTAATAATCATGGTAATGGAGAAAAAACAGGAAATGAATATATGCCTATTTCTATAATTTATTGTACACAAAAATAGGAGTGCTTGGTGTAAACATTTGGATGCATTGCCAATGGGATAGCTCATCTATAAGCAGTGATTACAATTTTCGAAAGATATTATAATTCACTTATATTTCTTGCCCTATTTGCCCTATTTGCCTCCTATCGATGTTACGATTATATTTGATTTTCATTATTCATATCATTTCAAGGATATGTTGACAGCAAACATGGCAAAAGGTTCACTAAAAGTCGGCATGGAATATAGGCCTGTATTAGACAGCCAACTAAAATATTCTTCTATAACATCAACAATCAATCTCTAAAGCAACCCCAAAGAAAATAAGAAAACAAACCTATTATCATGAGAAGAGGTCAATATTGTTTTGTTTTTAATGATTATGAATAATCGTTGTAGCCAATATCCTTCCTAATTTTTATAATTTTAGGTAATTTATGAAATAATCAGTGGATGGTTGAATATTTAAACGAACAGTATACACACACGTACAAACGAAAATTAGTATCATTAGCAATTGGTATACATGTAGTAAGTATATAAGAAGATGCTGTAGTTGATTTTGTTGTTTGAAATTGGCACCTCGACAAAGTTTCAGTTGTATTGTTTCAGTTTCAGTTTATTGTTTCATATTTTACATGTATTCATATTTTGCAATGACTTCGCAAAGTTAATGGTACACTAAAACATGAATTATATTAAGAGAGACAACAATAAAGAAGAAAGTGAGTACCTCGTATTAATTGTTTGAACGCATGAAATAAAAAGACTGAACTGAAATACATAGTTATCTTTAGAGCCTATAATATAATGGTAATATCCTATTTGCCATTTGCTAAAGGAGCATATATTTCCTCAGTGACCCTGTTTTCTGTGATGGTCAATATTCCAACTTTTACAGTTATACCGAAAAAGGAAAAAGCCTATTGTAGGGAATGTTTTGGATATTTTCTTAACTTTCTTTTTCATAGTTTTTTATAGTAATATCTTAATACTTTAATCCTCCAAACGCGGCATTATATAATTAATAGATAGAATATATTTATATCGATATCATCCCATCTGTTACATAAAGTCCAATCGTTCACAAAGGAAATCATACTATGAACTAAAACATTTTAGGATGATAGGGGGATCCCTGCCATTGTACATGAAACACCATAAAAAAAAATTGTGTTCTGAATGAAAGGAGTGTTTGTAGAGCCTAGAGACCAATTTGATCCACTTTAATAGTACCGTTAGTTCACTCTGACCTGTAGCTTTGATCAAAACATTGGGCCAAAAAGCCGAGGTAATGGCCTAAACGAAGGCTCTTCAGCCCATTATTCGGGAACAAAACATGGGAGAATAGCGCACCAGCTCATCTTTTGATAGATCACATAAGCAAGTCTATATTCATCCCAAATGGGATGATCGCTTTAGTGGTCCCGTTCTGGAGTCGTTTTTAGGGTAGGGATGAGCCGCTGGGAACTGGTTTTCTTATTTTCGACTGGGAGGCGACGTGGAGAAAGTTAGCCCGACTATGGTCTAGTGGGTCCTTTGTTGACTAGGGCTAAGATGAGGCACTACACGTGCCATATAATGATTTATGAGTCTCGTATGAAGTGTATGCGACTCATAATGAGTTCTAATCATCTTTGTTTGCTCGCTGTAAGATTTCTTCTTCTTTTAAAGACAATACATTTAGTATTCAGGATGTTCCCATGGTCTGATTCATGATGGCAGACGAAAAAAAGGTGGTGGTGGTGGGGGGGGGGGGTATGGCGAATGAAGAGAGAGATAGAGAGGGGGCAGAGTGAGAGAAAGAGAAAAATATACATTGTGTCTAAGGAAAGAAAAGGAGAAAGGAGAAGATGAGAGGGGGAGAGGAGGGAAATATATATATACAGAGAGGGAGCGGGGGGGGGGGGGGGGAGGGTTACGTTAAAAGCTGGCTGGGGCAGTATCATACATTAATGTTTTTGTCTATAGTAATTGCCTGTGTAGTCTCGTTTTAAGAGAAAGAAAGAATGGGTATTTGTGGTGACGAATAAAAGAAGCTTCGGATGTGTCATTTCAGGAAAAATATGACCACTAGAGATGGGGAAACCAACTATTCTGAAGTATCTTCCGCGCTTTAATCATTTACGTGTTCTCTGAAACTCTAATAAAAAAAAAAATACGCGCGCGAACCCATTGCGAAAATGTCTGCGCGTGTGCGGGCGAAGTGTCGTCTGCGGGGAGGTACATGAACACTCATGAATGTATACACGTCATAATCGTCAGCTGTATCAACGTGAGGTTGAAAAATGATTAAAGGTATTACAAAGTTTTGGTAAAAATATTTAATTCATCTGAAACTCTTTGATGTTATAACAAGATGCAATAGGAATATCTTTAACCAATCTCCACCGCTGAAATACTTTTTTTTTTTTTTTAGTGAATTAAACAGTAATTAATAAATCAATTATTAGTTCCAAGCTGCCTGTATTTAAACCGGCTCATGATGTTGTATACTAGCGCCATCTACTGTTGTAAATGGTTCATGGTATAATCGATATTGAAACACTGTGTTACGTTCGCCCCGCCCGGTGAAGCCACATGGACAGAAGACAAACAGCAATTTTGACACCGCGCTGACCCCGCTCCATGGCGGGGAAGCGACTGTATTCGAATGGCTTCGGTCCATGTTCTTTTTTATAGCTCCATGGTACCAGCATCTGTGTGCGTTTGTGTGAGAGCAAGTACCGTTCAGGATTGTATTGCACAAATCAAGGGAGTTATAATCTCCTTGCAGAGTGAGTTTGACCATAAACCTATGGTTTGACGTACCCGTAAACCCTCCTCCGCAACCGTCTCAATCTAGTCTCAGCTTCGACTGATCAGTCTTTTTGATATACATTTATAACAGACAATTTCAAGTAGGCCTACGGGATACATGAAGTCTTATCATTTTTTCCAATTGTTATGTCCGTGAAATGCATTCAGAAAAGAATATCAGAAAGAAAGCAATTTGAAAATGAATGACCACATAATCGTTCAGATAAACATGAAAGAAATACAATAAATATGTCTATCCAGATACCGCTCTCTCTCTCTATCTCTCTCTGTCCCCCCCCCCCCCCACCCCCTCTCTCTTTCCTACAGAAGTTCGATGTAATGTTCATCATATACCCTTGGAAGTTTCGAAAAAAATCATTTTCACCACATGGACCCTCTCTCTCTCTCTCCGAAATATAGACCCAGGCTCTCTCTGTCACCCTCTCTCCTCTCTTGTTCCCTCTTTCCCTTCCTCTCGCACCCTCTCGATCTCCCTCTCTTCGCCTGTGCTCCTCTGCACTGCATGTTTGACTTGTTTTCTTTCATCCTCATCTACATTATAACCCCATCAAAAAACTATGGTCCTATCACGTGAATGAAAACTTCTATCGTCTTTGTGATTATTATTATCTTTGTCATATATTTATATGATCCTCATTTACATACACCCCAACAATGGTCCTATCGCGTGAATGAGAACTTCTATCGTTTTTACGATTATTATTATCCTTGCCAAACGTACTGTATTATCATATTCATTTACATGAACCACAACCAATTATGGTCCTATTACGCGAATGAGAACTTCTATCGTTTTTGTGATAATTATTATCTTTGTCATATAATTATATCACCCTCATTTACATAACCCCGACAAAAAAAATATGGTCCTATAACGCGAATGAGAACTTCTATCGTCTTTATGATTAGTATTATCCTTGTCATAAAATCCAACCAAAAACTACAGTCACGTGAATGAGAACTTCTATCTTCTTTGTGATTATTATTATTCTTGTCATATCACCCTCATTTACGTAACCCCGACAAAAGAAATATGGTCCTATCACATGAATGAGAACTTCTATCGTTTTTGTGATAATTATTATCTTTGTCATATATATTTATATCACCCTCATTTACATAACCCCGACAAAAAAATATGGTCATATCACGCGAATGAGAACTTCTATCGTCTTTATGATTATTATTATCCTTGTCATAAAATCCAACGAAAAACTACTGTCCTATCACGTGAATGAGAACTTCTATCGTCTTTGTGATTATTATTATTCT